TGCTGCAATAAGGTCTCCCCAGAGCCTGCTCTTCTCCTGCATGAGAAAACTCAAGTGCCTCCCCTTTCTCCATGGTAGGGGCAATGCATCTGTGTGATCATTTTTGCAGCCCTTGTTTGTTTGCAGCTGCTCTAACAGGTCCATGCTTACTCTGAATTGAGGAGTCCAACTGGATTCAGGTGGGGTCTAACAAGAACTGACCTGCTGGCTGTATTTCCTTCTGTCCTTCTCAGTGTTGGGGAACAACTTCTCTGAGTTGTTCTTCTGTGATATCAGCTTTGTACAGTCCAAGTTCTAGGTATCCTCAGGGTGTAGATACAGTTCCCATAGCTTGGGAAGAAATATGTGTGTAAGCAGTTGCTTCCTTTTCCACAGTCTGCCACAGTGGGAATTTTTGTCCAGATGTGTTAACAAGGATGCTCCCCAGATCAGACCTGGAATTATCACCTTTCAGATGCAAATTCCTCTCTCTGTGGTTACCTCAAGTTCCCACTGTAGTGGCTTATTTTATTCTGTGACCTTGACAGTGTTTAAGGCAATTGTGGTCTTTAAGTCTCTTACACCAGTCTGTACTGGCCTGACTGGGCTGGAAGTCATTGTCTTCAGAGCAGCCAGTGTTGTTCTGTGCTTCAAATGTAGATAAACTACAAATGTAGCTAAACCACTAAATGTGGCTAAACCAGTGCAAAGAACACACCAAAGCCTGACCTGCTGCTGCACAGGGCTGGCCCACCATCAACACCATCTCTCTTTCCCACGCTGCATCACCCACAGTGGAGGCCAGGAGTGGGCAAGCAGCTGGAGCTGATACAACCAGGACAAATGACTTCAACTGACCAAAGGGCTGTTCCAGGTCATGTAAAATCATGGAATCACTGAGGTATACAAGACCTTTAAGATTAAGGGGTCCAACCATTAACCCAACTCTTCCAAGCTCAACACTAAACCATGTCCCCAAATTTCACAAATAGATGTCTTTTAAATCCCTCCAGGGATGGTGATAACACCACAACACTGGGCACGTATAATATCATGCTTAGCAATAAATCTGTGGACAGTCTTCCCAGAGAAGCCATTCTTCAGACACTGTGTGGGCATTGGTCTGCTGCTGCTCGCATGATTCCCTTGGAACCACTTGGTTTTCTCTTTTTTCTCCCATTCCTTCATAGAAGATCCTCATTTTGACACCAGGGTATGTCACTCCCCTGCTTTTCCAATTCTCCCCCTTCCCACTGGCTCAGCAGATCAAAAGAAGCACTGCTCAGTGTTTACTGCTGCTCATAACACCACACCGACCCAAAGGCAGTGCTTGTCCTCTGTCCTGCTCCTTCCTTGTCTCTGCCCAGGGCTTCCGAGGAAAGTTTTTGGAGACATGGTGGCAGGAAAAGACATTGGGAAGGAAGAGAGGCAGCAGGTGTTGGCTGAGTGACTCAAAGGGCTGTCCAGAAGCAGCTGAGGGGGGGCTGAACTGCTGCAGGACACAGCTGGGCACTCATGGCCCCAGAGCCCTGAAGGGCAGCTGACTTGGGACAACCAGCTCTGTCTCCCCACATCTCCCTCAGCCCCTGGCAAGCAGCAGCCCCAAAGCAGGGCCAGGGAAAGGGGCTTTGGCAGTCACCACATCAGAACAGGTCTGACTGCCCCGGCTGTGCCCTGGCACCCAGGGCTCTCAGCAGCATCCTGGGCTGTGCAAGAGGAGTGGAACCAGGAGCTGGGTGGGAGCGATGATGCTGCTCTGCTCAGCACTCTCCTGCTGCCCTTGCCTGTGTTGGGGACAGGCTGTAATGGAAGATCCACCTGGAGCAAGTGGAGTGAGTTTGGTGCAGGGTGGCCAGGATGCTGAGGAGGTTGGAGCACTTGACTAAGGCACAGGGATTGCTGAGTGTGGGGAGGAGCATGGTTTGGTTGGACAGAAAACCATCCTTGGAGTAGGCAGGTCCAGTGGAGAGGATTGGTTCATTCTACCAGCTCCAGACATATCAAGAAGGATAGAAAGGAGCAATACCATGATTAAGCAGATATAGCTCTCATTTCTTAAAGGCACTCAAAGACCTTCTTTGAAATCTGCTGCACAACCATCTCTGAGACACACCTCCCTCCCTGAGAACCTTGGGAGACCAACAAGAGAGGAAAGGATGACACAGATGCATGGGCTGGGATGCAACAGAAATTTAATGAGTCAAACGATGAGAGCAAGGCCACTCTGAGTGGAGGCCTCAGTGCAGAGAGCAGCGGGGTCAGCTCAGAATCTCCATGACACAGTTGTGGCAGGGATCCCAGCAGGTGTCCATCTGCCTGATCCAGAGAGGGAGCAGGGCCAGCAGGTGCTCCCCAGGATGGCTGTGTGGGGATCACAGCCCCAGGGAGCACAAAGGAACAAGGACACAGGAGGGAAAGGAGAGAGTCGCAGGGGACAGAGGCAGGGATGGGCTGTGCTTGCCAAGAGCCCAGGCTGGCCCTGTCCTTCTGCAAGGGCTGCTGGGGTTGCTCAGCCCCTCGGGAAGCAAGAAGCCGATGCTGCGTGCCCAGGGCGGTTCCATCCTGGGAGTCCCTGGGTTCCTTCCCCAGGGCCAGCGGCAGCAGCTTCAGCAGGGGAGGCACCTTGTGCCACAGAGGCCACTGCCCAAGCCAGAGAGGCCAAAGCCCCCAGAGCTGATGGGCACTCCCTGAGAGCTGAGGATGCTGCCAACAGCAGCAGAGGTGGAGGATCCCACGGCGGTGTTCTGTGGGAAGGAGCTGAGGATGGGGCCGGGCAGGGTCACCACCACGGGCGAGGGCTGGATGAACACGGTGGAGTCCTGGCACTGCCTGACACAGGGCTCATTGCAGCTGTTGGCCAGCGGGGTGGGGCCGCAGGGCTGGCAGGGCCGGCACGGGCTGTAGCAGGACATGGCTTGGGGATGCAGGAGCACCTGGGAGACAGAGCAGAGAGAAGCAGACCGTGAGTGGTGTTTGAAGAGCAGCCTCGCCACACTGTGAGGGAGATCCTTTCTCTCAGCCCCCAGGAGCACCACCAAGAAGGCCAAAGCCAGGGACAACCCCTCCCAACCCACAGCTCAGGAGACACCTCAGTCTATATCTAGCCTTTATCCATGATACATCTGCACACTCCCAGGGTAAGCAGCCTCAAGACACAGCAGGGAACAAGGACAGAGATATATATGATACATGATGTCATATATATCTATATGATCAGAAATCCCAGAGAATGACAAGGTGGAAGACAAAAGGAAGGAGGAAGGACACAAGGAGAACCCAGAGGAAGACAAGAAAAGGCTCAACACTCACCTTGTTCCCAACAAGATGGAGCTGAAGGAGTGGATGAGAGAGTGAGGAGAAGGTCCTGCTTTTATACTGCTCCTGCACTGCCCCAGGACCACAGGCACTGCACAGGGGCAGTAATTTTCCTACAGACTCATCCCCAAAGCAGACTGTCCTCCCAAATGCCCCAGGTTGTGTTTTGGTTTCTGTCAACGCTGCCATTTCATTTCCTCATTGCTGACATGGCCATTAGGCCACAGAGGAGGATCTTTTGAAGTGTTGGGATGAGAAGCCTGAGGCTTTCCCGAGCACCATCACATCAGTACAGGCAGAAGATATGCTCCCATGTGCTGGAGAGGTCTGTGCAGGCAGGGCATGTGGCTGTGGCGAAATATGTGGGGGGTGTTTTTATAAACCCCTGTGAGGAAACATGGCTGTATCTTCCCACCAATACAGTCCCCTCCTGAGTACCTGAAGTCTTCCCTGAATGTGGGCATGCTGCATCCCTCTGCCTCCGTGGTGCCTCCCTGCTCAGGCCGCGACTCACTGGGTATCGCCTTGCTAGGCAGGTTTGGTACACTGCTGGTTTCAAATGGCTTTGCCCAAGGAAATCTTCTCCTTCAGGGAAGACATCTCCTGGTTTATTTGTCAGAGCTGTCTCCTCTCACTGCCATCTCTGAGGGACCCCAGCCTGTGCTGTAAGCAGGTTTGTGGAAGGAGTGCACTGTCCGGTCAAAACCCCCTTGGTCCCCCAAAAAATCCTGTGGAGTGAGATGCCTCTTCTCTCATCATCTGAGGGGTATGTTTGCTCTTGGAACATCGCTCTCTTTCTCCCCCTCTCCTCGCCCCATTATGCACTTTGGCTGCACCCTTTGCACCCTGACTTGGGGGACACGCAAAGTCCTGCCCACTTTTTCAAAACACACTGTCAGTGCTGAGAGCACCCCAGTGCTGCCAAGCAGGTCAGGCTGAGGGCAATGGCCTTTGGGGCAGCCTAGAGCTGTGGTGTGTGGGGACAGCCCAGTGCTTGAAGATGGTTTTCCTGGAAAAGGAGTGGAGTTGCCCAAAGGATTGAGGCCTGACAGGATCTCGAGGCCTGGCAGGATCCTGCAGTGCCACATGCCTGGGGAGGCTCAGGGAGGGGATGCGCTCAGAAAAGCCCTGGGTACAAAACCAGCTGTGAGACTACGCCAAGGAGTGATGCACTTCCCTGCCCTGCAGACATGGAGGCAGCTGGGACGTGTCCCAGGAGGGCAAGGGAATGCCTTCAGTAGGCAAATCTCCAGGGAGAGACTCTCCTTACCAGTGGCAAGTCAGGCTCTAATTTTGGGTTGGCCATGTGTCAGCCTTTTGGTGTGAGGCCAAGCCAGGAGGGTGTGATGTCTGCAGGCCTGGCCAAGGCAGGGCTGAGTCCCCCTCCAGCAAGGGCAGCTCCATCCTGGCCCTGGGAAAAGGGATGCTTGGCAGCTCTTTCACAGGTCAGGGATGCTTGCAAGGACTGACAATGTGTATTGAAAAAGTGGCCCATGCTTGTGTGTCCTGCAGATTATGGTATAAAACTTGCAGGAAATTGCACTGTGGGGGGAGGAGAGAGGGAAGAATATGGTGCTATCCCAAGAACCTGCAGACTCCTCTGACAGAGAGGACAGTGAGGGCCAACCCCAAAAGGGTTCTTCATGAACTGGGGAGGGCATCAATCTCCTTCCACAAACCTGCTTACAGCACAGGCTGGGGTCCCTCAGAGATGGCAGTGAGAGGAGACAGCTCTGACAAATAAACCAGGAGATGTCTTCCCTGAAGGAGAAGATTTCCTTGGGCAAAGCCATTTGAAACCAGCAGTGTACCAAACCTGCCTAGCAAGGCGATACCCAGTGAGTCGCGGCCTGAGCAGGGAGGCACCACGGAGGCAGAGGGATGCAGCATGCCCACATTCAGGGAAGACTTCAGGTACTCAGGAGGGGACTGCATTGGTGGGAAGATACAACCATGTTTCCTCAGAGGGGTTTGTAAAAACACCCCCCACATATTTCGCCACAGCCACGTGCCCTGCCTGCACAGACCTCTCCAGCACATGGGAGCATATCTTCTGCCTGTACTGATGTGATGGTGCTCGGGAAAGCCTCAGGCTTCTCATCCCAACACTTCAAAAGATCCTCCTCTGTGGCCTAATGGCCATGTCAGCAATGAGGAAATGAAATGGCAGCGTTGACAGAAACCAAAACACAACCTGGGGCATTTGGGAGGACAGTCTGCTTTGGGGATGAGTCTGTAGGAAAATTACTGCCCCTGTGCAGTGCCTGTGGTCCTGGGGCAGTGCAGGAGCAGTATAAAAGCAGGACCTTCTCCTCACTCTCTCATCCACTCCTTCAGCTCCATCTTGTTGGGAACAAGGTGAGTGTTGAGCCTTTTCTTGTCTTCCTCTGGGTTCTCCTTGTGTCCTTCCTCCTTCCTTTTGTCTTCCACCTTGTCATTCTCTGGGATTTCTGATCATATAGATATATATGACATCAGGTATCATATATATCTCTGTCCTTGTTGCCTGCTGTGTCTTGAGGCTGCTTACCCTGGGAGTGGGCAGATGTATCATGGATAAAGGCTAGATATAGACTGAGGTGTCTCCTGAGCTGTGGGTTGGGAGGGGTCGTCCCTGGCTGTGGCCTTCTTGGTGGTGCTCCTGGGGTCTGAGAGAAAGGATCTCCCTCACAGTGTGGCGAGGCTGCTCTTCAAACACCGCTCACGGTCTGCTCCTCTCTGCTCTCTGTGCCAGGTGCACCTGCAGCCCCAAGCCATGTCCTGCTACAGCCCGTGCCAGCCCTGCCAGCCCTGCGGCCCCACCCCGCTGGCCAACAGCTGCAATGAGCCCTGTGTCAGGCAGTGCCAGGACTCCACCGTGTTCATCCAGCCCTCGCCCGTGGTGGTGACCCTGCCCGGCCCCATCCTCAGCTCCTTCCCACAGAACACCGCCGTGGGATCCTCCACCTCGGCTGCTGTTGGCAGCATCCTCAGCTCTCAGGGAGTGCCCATCAACTCTGGGGGCTTTAGCCTCTCTGGCTTGGGCAGTGGCCTCTGTGGCACGAGGCGCTTCCCCTGCTGAAGCTGCTCCCTGCACTTTAGCCTCCACCTGGATCCCCCTCTCCTTCCTTTTTTGACTCATTAAATTGTGCTGCATCCCAGCCTGTGCCTTTGTGTCGTCCTTTGCCTGGCTGAGATGTTGCCCCAGGGGTGTTTCTGGGAGGGGGTTGTTGGGGCTGGTTTTGCACTGGCTGTCAACACAGGCTGGCATTGGGATGCTCAGTGTGCACTGAGTGACTCTCTGGTTTCTGAGTTTCTCTGCCTCTTTAGGTCAGGACAGAATTTCTTTACATTGTCCGGGGGCAAACATGCTCTCTGCGCTTCTTTTCCTTTTCCTTTCTCAGTCTAACACTGTGACACAAATACTCAGGAGAGAATGTGTTACTGACCAAACAGAGGTATTGGATTTCCATTATACTCCAGCAGATCCCATCCTAACACAAGATGTGCTCAGAGGGAGGGACAGACTGCATTGTGCTGCCTTCTCACAGACCCCTGTTATCATGGGAGCAGAGAATGGGTCTGGGTGGAAGATACCACTAGGGTTTATCAGTCCACCCCTGCTGCCATGGATATGGATATCCTTCACTGCCTCACATAAGGTTTGAGCAAACCTGATCTTGAACTCTTCCCAAAATGGGACACCCCATCATTCTCTAGACAACATTTCCCTGTCTCTTATCACACTCATCACTGTAAAATTCTTCCTTATGTCCTTTCTGTATTTATCCTATTTCAGTTTAAAACTCTTGCTCTTTGTCCAGTTATTGCAGGCCTTGAGAATACATCTCTTTCCAACTTCTTCATTCATCCATCCCCTTTACATATCAAAAGGTCTTCCCAGAGCCTGCTCTTCTCCTGCCTGAAAAATCCTCAACCCTCTCCAGCCTTTCTCCATAGTAGGGGCAATGCATCAGTGTGATCATTTTTGCAGCCCTTGTCTGGAGCTGCTCTAACAGGTCCATGCCTACTTTGAATTAAGGACTCCTGACTGGGTTCAGAGTTCCAGGTGAAGTTTAAGAATGGAAGACAAGAAATGGAGAATTCCCTCCTTTTACCTGCTGGCCATGTTTCTGTTTGTGCAGCCCTGGCCTGATGGAATTTCTGAGCAGTAAACACACATTGCTGGCTCATGTCCAGTTCTCAATCTCTAGTGTCCCCAAGCCTTCCTTAAAGTCTGCTCTCAGTCCTTTCTTCTCCCAGGCTGCTCTGATATTGTGGATTTCCAGAATGCAACTTTCCCGAGAGAGTTTCTAGTGAGTGGGAGGCAGGGAGAGGCATCAGTTGTGGGCTGAGGGTCTCAAAGGGCTGTGCAGTGTTAGGGTTAGGGTTAGCTGATGGAGGGGAAGGGCGGAACTGCTGCAGGATGCAGGTAGGCTTGGTGACACACGTCCTCAAAGAGTCCAGATTTGAAGTTGTTGCTGTTGAGATGGTCACAACACACAGAAGAACAGCATGCACTTCAGAAGGCTTCTCACTATTTATTTTAACAGCATCCTGTTAATATTTATATTTATATTTATATAATATAATATAATATAATAGTTTATACCTATTCATTGGCTACAATAAATCAGCATTATGTTCAATGGCCCGGAGTGGTCTCCATCACTGTTTTCCACCAACATCCAACTGCAAGGCCCCCCTGTTATCTTTTCTTTTCCTCGGTTTCCTTGTTGATGTCCTTGTTAGAACTCCTTTCAGGGGAAAAGGTGACTCTTACCAGCTTCTCCTCTTCAACTAACTCCTTCTGGCTAACCGACCAGCTGTCAGCCCCTTCCACATGAAGTTGGCTTTGTAGTAGCCAACCCTGTCACATCGTTCAGTGTGGAAGATCAGACAGCTACAGAAGCTGAGCTGGTTAGTGCCACCAACCTTTTGGCCCTGGTATAGTGAAAGCTGAGGAAGAGATAAACTCAAGGCAAGGACAGAAGTGAAGACATTGTGTCTGATCACTCTGACCCTCTGACGCTGACCGCTCTGACAAGGGAAGATGGAACAAGGACTTTGCTGGTAAAAGAGGTAAGAAGGACATTACTAGAGTAAGAATGATAATCAAGAAGATTGTATTTCTAAAGGACTGGGATAAAGAGGTCTGAGTGAAATATTTTGTACAAATGTAGTGACCTATAAATACTGGTGAACTTCTGTAATAAACTGGCTTTGCTCTGCTGGCATAAGCAGAGTCCGTGTCTGTCAATCCCTGCACTTCAGTCTCTGAAAAGAATGAGGTGCTTTTTGGTGTTCATGAGCACTGGCAGGAGTGTTCCTGGACACTAAAGATTGTCATCAGCATCCTGGGCTATCAGAGCACAACTGTCAACAGGATATTGATGGGAGCAAAGATCTTACTCTGCTCAGCAGTCCCCAGATGGCATCAAGCATGCTGTGCTGCCTACTGGACTGTAACACAAAAAGATCTCCAGCAAGGGAAGTGAAATACATGAAGATTGAGTGAAGTGGGAGTGGTGAGTGAAGTGGGACATTGGTGAGTGAAGTGGGACATTTACTTGTGCATTAGAGGTTGAGGACACAGGCTTGCTGACAACAGAGAAGAGAAAGCTTGAAAGCTTTGTTGGGAGACCTAAAAATATTTTTGGAATATCTGTGATCATTGAACTGTGTGAGGTAATTCTTGCAGGTAGAGAGAGGCAGATTAATTTAGAAAGGTGATGCTTAATATGAGCAATCAATGCTGTGTTAAGATAATGAATGCGATGTTGACAACCATGGCAACACCTCTTCCAACAACACCCTCCTGGAACCACACAGCAACAGCTCTCTTGCTGGACATGTTGGGTGAGCATGTGCAGAGGAAAGGATGACACAGAGACATGAGCTGGGATGCAGCAGAGCTTTAATGAGTCAAAAGATGAGGAAGAAGTAATTCTGAGTGGTAGATAGAGCACTGAGGCTCTATCCCTGGGTTTGGACCATCCTGTGTGTCCCTGGGTTCCTTCCCCAGGGCCAGCAGCAGCAGCTTCAGCAGGGGAGGCACCTGGTGCCACAGAGGCCACTGCCCAAGCCAGAGAGGCCAAAGCCCCCGGAGCTGATGGGCACTCCCTGAGAGCTGAGGATGCTGCCAACAGCAGCCGAGGTGGAGGATCCCACGGCGGTGTTCTGTGGGAAGGAGCTGAGGATGGGGCCGGGCAGGGTCACCACCACAGGAGAGGGCTGGATGGCCACGTGGGAGTCCTGGCACTGTCTGACACAGGGCTCATTGCAGCTGTTGGCCAGCGGGGTGGGGCCGCAGGGCTGGCAGGGCTGGCACGGGCTGTAGCAGGACATGGCTTGGGGCTGCAGGAGCACCTGGGAGACAGGGAATGGGGAGGCAGAGTTGAGAAAGGGCTTTGTCAGAGTGTTGACACACCATGATGGAGAATAGCAAGGAGAAGACAGCAGGAGGCTGCTTAAAGAAGCCAAACAGCCTCGCTGTTTGGTCAAGTCCCCAAGAATCTCCTGAAGAGTTATCAAGCCCAGTGACTTGCACACCTGGGCCAGAACTCATGAGACATCTCAGAAAAAACCCAGCCTCTCTCCATGCACAGCTTTGGCCATTTCTCTCTCCCATAACCAGCAGTGCTCAGGAACCCACATGGGATTAAAGCAGAGAATGTGATCAGAAAGCCCAAAGGAGGAAGAATAAAAGAAAGGGCTTCAGACTCACCTTGATCCCAAGCAGGTGGAGGTGAGAAGAGTGAATGAGAAAACAAGGAGAAGGTCCCCCTTTTATACTGCTCTGGCACTGCCCCAGGCCCACAGGCACTGCACGAGGACAGTAATTTTCCAACACATTCACCTCCAAAGCAAAATATCCACCCTAACGCCACACGTTGTGGTTTGATTTCCATCAATGCTGCCATTTCATTTCCTCATTTCTGACGTGCTTGCTCTGTGTTACAGCTCCTTTCACGTGTGCCACACGAGGCCTGAGGACACCTGGGACCAGAGCGTGTCCGTGCAGGCACAGGATGTGCCCCCATGCCGCAGGGTCCCGAGCAGGCAGGGGATGTTGGCTCGGGGCAGTGCCTTGCCATTGCTGGCAGCTGCCTCTGCAGGACAGCCCCAGCTCTGCCCTGCCCCAAGGAGCAGCAGAGCACCCAAAGGCTCCTCTCCTCACAGCACGTCCTGCCTGCTGCCCTCTCCTCCTCTCACCTCACTCCAGCACCCACTGGACACTGCTTCTCCAGGGAAATGCTTTCCTCTCCCTTCCGGTTGATGCAGATTGTTTGGCAGGCTGAGCATTCCAGGGCTGGGCTTGGAGAGCCAAAGCCCACCTGGAGCTGAATCAGGAAAGCTTGTGGTGGGAAAGAAGAAGATCTTTCACACCGGGCAAGAGTAAAAGGGAGGCTTGAACCAAGGCTGACTGGGGCAGTTTCACTGGGGGCAGGGGTTACAGGAAAGGGGAAGGTTCTTCAAGGCTTCTGGGTCTTGGTCTTTAGTGGCAACTTTTCATGTCACAGGATCAACCTCCTGACACTCCTCAGAAACAGGGGTAGGGAAAACTCCCCCACGCCAGAGGAGGAGGATCAGCTGTGAGAACATTTAAACGGACTGGACTGACATGAGTGTGTGCAACCTGGTGATGGGCACATGAGTGTTGGTGTCAAAGAAGGCACCTCTGAGCTCCCTTTGGGGGGTCCCAGTAGTCAGGGAATGCAGTTGACACCTGGGAGAAAGAAAATGGGCACCCTGATTTCTAGAAGGCCATGACTGAAATCTGGCTTGGCTGCAGTTCTCCAAGGCTTCTAATGAATGGAATGAAGTACAGCTGGCAGAGACTCACTCTTAGTGCACCACAGGGCCCAGACTTGGGCCAGCACTGTTTAACCCCTTTGGACAAAGTCCTGCAAGGATGGAGGGATAAACGCCTGCCTCCCACAGGCTGGGGCTGTAGGAGCCAAAGCGCTTTGCAGTACAGAAAGGGGGTCCTGCAGGGCATCACGACACAGCCCTGGGCCTTTGTGGAACTGGCACCTGGCAGCATCCAAAATTGCTTTAGGAAGGGATTTCTTCTCTAACTGTAGAACATGACCCCTCTCCTCTGCTCTGCGGTGCTGAGAAATCAGTGCCATAAAGAGAAGTTGCCCAGTATAAGAGAGGCACAATCATACTGGTGCAGTTCCAGCAAAGGGCCTCAGACCCCATGAGGTGACTGGAACCCCTGGAACAGGAGGGACTGCTTGACTGTCCACCCTGGAGGAGAGGGGGCATCTGGGCTCACTGCTCAGCAATGGCTAAAAGAGCTGTGGGAGGAGTCCAGAACACAGAACCAGGCTCTCCTGAGTCTTCTCCAGAGAAGGGACAAGAGGAAATAGGCACACTGGAAATAGGGAAATTCCGGGAAAGCATAAGAAAAGACGTTATTAGTGTGAGGATGATAAAGAACTCGCTTGCAGTTGACACAGACAAGCTGAGGATTGTTTGTGCTTGTAGAAATTCAGGACCTGGCCCTGAGCATCCTTTAAGAGCTGATCATGCTGTGCAGAGGGGTGCTTGGACTAGGTGATCTCTGAGGTTTCTTCCAGTCTCATAGTCTGTCATGGGAAAAAAACAGTGATGCAGAACTGTTTTTTTTTTTTTTGAAAAGGAAAAACTGGATGTGAACATTGGAATCAAGGGCAGCCTTGGCTGTCACACCACAGAAAGTGGAGAGTAAGTGCTGTGTCAGGGAGGAAATGGGTAGCAAGGTACATCCCCCGCACATCAAAAATCTTGCACTCATTCAGGCATCTGGCAGGATGGAGGCACCTGTGAAGAGTAAAAGAGGTTAGAAAAGCTTGCAACAGCTCAGGCATCCTGTGGTCAAGGATTAAGAAAAGTCTAGGAAAAGCACAAGAAACCAATAGGAGCTCTGAGAATAGGGGATGTGCTCACAAGTGCCCTGGGTACAAAACCAGGTTACAGCAAGGAGTGCTGCACTTCCCTGCCCTGCAGACATGGAGGCAGCTGGGATGCATCCATGAGGGCAAGGGAATGCCTTCAGTAGGCAAAATTCCAGTGAGGGACTCTCTCCACCTGAAGCGAGTCATGCTCTAATTTTGTGTTGGCTGTGTGTCAGTCATTTGGTGTGAGGCCAAGCCAGGAGTGTGTGATGTCTGAAGGCTTTGTTCCAGGCCAGGATGAATTCCCCTCCAGCAAGGGCAGCTCCAGCCATGCAGAGAGAAAATATCTCTAATATTGGGCTGTAGCCAAGCCCAGAGCTCCAAACAGACAAACAACACACCTTGCCTTCAGCAGGACCTTACTGTCTGCCAAAGAGGGTGGAAATCAGTGTTACCATTTTTCCCTGGTGCCATGATCCCTTCCTTCCAGAGACAATTCCAGTACACCTTCTGTCTGTGCTGTATCCCTGCCTGGGAAAGCCTTTGGTCTTTCATCTCAATACTTGAAAGGACCCTTGGATGACTAATGATCACGTCAGGAATGAGGAAAACAAATGGCAATGTTGATGGAAACAAAAGCACAGCCTGTGGCATTAGGTAGGATATTTTGCTTTGGAGGTGAGTCTGTAGGAAAATTACTACCCTTGTGCAGTGACTGTGCGCCTGGGGCGGAGCAGGGGCAATATAAGAGAGAGCTTGTCCTCACTCTCTCATCCACTCCTCTTGCCTCAGTCTGCTTGGGATCGAGGTGAGTCGGGTCACTTTTCTCCTCTCCTTCCTCTTCCTCCTCCTGTTTTCCAGTGCATACCTCTCACTTGGTCCTATGCTGTATCATGGGACTGCTCTCTGTGAGAGTTGAAATGTGAAAGAGGGTCATGTGGAGGGAGGCTGGGGATTTGCTGAAGTGAGCGATAGTCTGGGCAGGAACATTCTGAGATTGGTTGCTCTTGGCAGGGAACCCGTGGGCTAAATGTGAGGAAAAACCTGTGGGCATCCTTGCATCTTCAGTTCTTGAGTTCCTGTCTCCGTCTTGGCTTGAGTCATGGTGTGGTGACAGGCTGTACTACAAACACCGCTCACGGTCTGCTCCTCTCTGCCCTGTCTCCCAGGTGCTCCTGCAGCCCCAAGCCATGTCCTGCTACAGCCCGTGCCGGCCCTGCCAGCCCTGCGGCCCCACCCCGCTGGCCAACAGCTGCAATGAGCCCTGTGTCAGGCAGTGCCAGGACTCCACCGTCATCATCGAACCCTCGCCCGTGGTGGTGACCCTGCCCGGCCCCATCCTCAGCTCCTTCCCACAGAACACCGTGGTGGGATCCTCCACCTCGGCTGCTGTTGGCAGCATCCTCAGCTCTCAGGGAGTGCCCATCAGCTCTGGGGGCTTTGGCCTCTCTGGCTTGGGCAGTGGCCTCTGTGGCACCAGGTGCCTCCCCTGCTGAAGCTGCTGCCGCTGGCCCTGGGGAAGGAACCCAGGGACTCCCAGGATGGAACCGCCCTGGGCACGCAGCATCGGCTTCTTGCTTCCTGAGGGGCTGAGCAACCCCAGCAGCCCTTGCAGAAGGACAGGGCCAGCCTGGGCTCTTGGCAAGCACAGCCCATCCCTGCCTCTGTCCCCTGCCACTCTCTCCTTTCCCTCCTGTGTCCTTGTTCCCCTGTGCTCCCTGGGGCTGTGATCCCCACACAGCCATCCTGGGGAGCACCTGCTGGCCCTGCTCCCTCTCTGGATCAGGCAGATGGACACCTGCTGGAGCACAGATTTCCTTCTGTCCCTCATGCTCTCTGCACTGGGACCTCCAGACAGACCAGCTTTGTTTCTGTGTTTTGTCTCATTAAATTTCTGTTGCATCCCAGCCCATGTGTTTGTGTCATTCTTTCCTCTGCAGGTTCTTTCTCACTATGCCCAGAGGAAAATATGTTTTTAAGAGATGTTTTTGTGAGGGTTTTCTTGGGATGAATATGCAATGATGGATAATAGCCTTGTATAGGTTGTACACAAGATGAAGTTCAATTTCACCAAATTAACCCTTCTACTGGTTCTTCGCAGTTGGAGCTAGATTGGTGTTGGTAACACAAAAATATATTGTTTTTTCTGGGCAGTGCTTGCCCAGTATCAACACTATCTCTCCACTCTCCTCTGCAAAAGGCCATGAAGTTGGATGTGGTCAAGATGCTGGGAGAGGACATAGCCAGGTTGCCTGACCCACACTGGCCAAAGGGATATTCAATAGCATGTGACATCATGGTCAGCAAAAAATGCTGAGGGAAAGGAAGAGGGGGCTGGCAGGGGAGCATTTATTAATAGATTGTTTGTCAAGGAAGAAACTGCCAAGTGTACTCTGTTTCTGCTTCCCAGGAGAGGCTAGACATTGATAGTTGATGGAAGGTGATAATAAAACTATTTTTTCTCCCTGTGTTTTTGCAGTCTTTCCTTGCTTTTCTTCATTAAACTACCTTTATCTCCACACACACAATATTAATTTCATCTTCTCCTACCATACTCTCTCAGGAAAGGGAGTAATTGAACATTTTGATGGGCACCTGAGGGCCAGGAAAGATGAGACTGTGTGGGGGATAAGAAAATAGACCTCTCCATTCTCATCCATGAATAATGCAGGTTGTTTTGTTGTGCAAGCTCACAAAGTCCTTTTCCATCTTAGTGTGAGGTGTTGAAAAATACTAATTAACTCTATTGACCTAATGTGGTGTTTGAAGTAATTGATGTCAGGGTGGTGTAAGAAGAATTTTTTGGTGTGGCAACAGTGAAACTTGTCCTGAGGTGGCTGGTGGCAGCTTTTAACACAACCCTGGAGCTTGACTGGTACTATCAAAGGACAGGGGTCGAGACAGGGGCCCAAATCACTTCTAAGAATGTCACGAGTGAGTCACGCATCCGAACTACGTTTAAGAACGCAGTAGTTGAGGCAGACACCCAAATCACACATGAGAACACCAGGGCTGAGGTAGGGACCCAAACAACACCTATGGTAATTGTTTCTTGGAGAAACTTGTTGCTGTCTGTGGTAGTGGTGGACGCAACCTTCCCTGAGAGCGTCTTGTGCTCTTGTGGCAGAAGGCACGAGAGCACCAGCACAGACACAGACACAGACACACACAGACACAGACACACACACACACACACACACACACACACACAGACACACAGGCACACATGCAGCAGCTCGATAGTGAAGGCATGGGACGGTCCAGGCATGGAGTCCTAATGTGCTGCATTTCAGGCAATGCTGAAGGAGTCCATAGGCCAAAGACAAAGGAGGGTCCGGGTTATAAATACATGGAAAGAGGGGGTGGAGAAGAGCATCAGGGATCCAATGGTCTGAGAGCTCAGGGGTGGTACTCTGGGAAGGGACCAATAGGGAATGCCAGGGTGGATGGGTGGGATTACAAAGGCCAATGGGATAACAGGGAAGGGAGAACATTCTAGAACAAAAACATATAGGGGTAAAAGGGGTAGAGAACACCGATGGGCCAGTGGGAAGACAGAAATGGGACAAATTAACATAGTGCTGCAGAGCACCATGGGCGAAGCTTCTTTCCTCCCCATAAGCTCTGAGGAATGCCCGGAGCCTAAGGTGCTTCCCTGCAGGGCATTCCTGGTGCCTTCTCCCCAGCAGGCTCAGGGACCTCCACAGAAACTGACTGCGCCTGGCTCTAATGTGGGTTGTATTCGCTGGCTAAAAATTTGGCTTTATGGTGGTGCTCAGAGAGTGGTGGTGAATAGAGTTAAGTCCAGTTGATGGCCAGTCACTAGTGGTGTTGCCCTAGTATTTAACTCAGTGTTTGGTCCACTTCAGATCAGTATCTTCATGCATGACCAGGGCCAGGGAGTCAAGCGTATCCTCAATAAGTTTGCAGGTGACTACAAGCTGGATGACACTGTTGATCTTCAGGAGGGTAGAAAGATTTTACAGAGGGATCTGGACATGCTGCATCAATGGACCGAGGCCAATTGTATAAGGTTCAATAAAAAGAAATGCTGGGTCCAGCCCTTGGGTCAAAAAAGTCCCCTACATCTCTACAGTTTTGGGGCAGAATGGCTGGAAAGCTGCCTGGGGGAAGGGACCTGGGTGTGCTGGCTAACAGCAGTGGAACATGCGCCTAGACTCCATCATAACTGCTGGGATAGTCCACAGGCTGAACTTGGATGCTTATTGGATAAGAACCACACTGTGCACACTGAATAATTTTATTAGGGATTAGAGCTTGCCTTTGTATTTCTTTGAATACATTTTTGCAGTCCGATACTATCACTGGCAATCCTCGAACCGTAACCTGTCACAATTTTATGTTATTCGGAGTATTATTCCACAAACTGTCAGTGTCGATCCTTCACTGGTGTTTGCAGTCTCTGGCAGTAGGAAACATACTCGAATACAGTGCCAGACCCACTAAGGGGTCAAAAAGTGGGAAGACCTGCAGAGGGGTCTCCCTGACTGATGGTGTTTCCCTGACTAAGTCAGTCGAGCTGGCCTCCAATCCAGCAGGATGGCTCTGTGCAGGGCCCCCCTAATAGAACACTCACAGAGTGGTTGGGCACAAGGGTGTCAGCTTTTCTGGGGCACTGACAGACAAATTAAACACTAAGGGTCAGGGAATCTCCCTTTTTCATGTGGCAGCATCTCTGATGGAGCTCTAGTCATTGAACTGTGTCGAATCATTCCATCCAGCCCTACATAGGTAGAGAAGTTTGAAAAACAGAGGATCACCCTGTAAGCATAGTCAAAGCTATCCTGTGATAACGGTCTCTGTACAACCATACTCAATAACCCCCCCATGTCATTTTGTGAGGGCAAATACAGGGGAAATGATGACAAAAAGGCAATGGCTCAAATGCAGCAGAACTTTAATGAGTCAAAAGATGAAAACAAGGTAAATCTGAGCTAAAGGAGCACCAGAGGCAGGTAGGAGTATGCACCAAATAACTGTGGTGGAGACCTCAGAAGATGTCCATCTGCCTGCCCTGCAGAGAGAGCAGGGCCAGCAGGTGCTCCCCAGGATGGCTGTGTGGGGATCACAGCCCCAGGGAGCACAAGGGAACAAGGACACAGGAGGGAAAGGAGAGAGTGGCAGGGGACAGAGGAAGGGATGGGCTGTGCTTGCCAAGAACCCAGGCTGGCCCTGTCCTTCTGCAAGGGCTGCTGGGGTTGCTCAGCCCCTCAGGAAGCAAGAAGCCAATGCTACATCCCCAATGAAGTACCATCTTGGGAGTCCTTAGGTTCTCACCCTGGAATCATCACCAGCAGCTTTAGCAGGGGAAGCACCTTCTGCCACAGAGGCCACTGCCCAAGCCAGAGAGGCCAAAGCCCCCAGAGCTGATGGGCACTCCCTGAGAGCTGAGGATGCTGCCAACAGCAGCCGAGGTGGAGGATCCCACGGCGGTGTTCTGTGGGAAGGAGCTGAGGATGGGGCCGGGCAGGGTCACCACCACGGGCGAGGGCTGGATGGCCACGTGGGAGTCCTGGCACTGCCTGACACAGGGCTCATTGCAGCTGTTGGCCAGCGGGGTGGGGCCACAGGGCTGGCAGGGCCGGCACGGGCTGTAGCAGGACATGTCTTGGGGATGGAGATGTACCTGTGAGACAAGGGAGATGGAAGCAGAACAGAAACTGTTGGTAAAGAGCACTCTTTTCCCCCACTAAGAGTGAGATAAGTCACAAGTTGGAGAAAAGAGCTAGGAACTTTGCAAGTGAGATCCACAGGTATCACATTACTTTCTGCCCAAATGAATCCTCTGGACAGCAACCAATCCCAAAGAATTTCTTTCCTAGCCCATAGCTCATGAGACACTTTACCAAGTTTCAGCCTCTGGTGATGACAGAAGTTCCTCCCCTTCCCTCTTCTGTGATAGCAGTTCCAAGACCCCACACAGGGCTGGGGCAGGTATGAGCTGAAGTGCATTAGAGGAATACGAAGAGAAAGAGGAGAAAAAGCTTCAGACTCACCTTGTACTGACGGAGATGGAGGTGAGAGGAGTGGATGAGAGAGTGAGGAGAAGGTCCTGCTTTTATACTGCTCTTGCACTGCCCCAGGCCCACAGACATTGCATGACAGCAGTAATTTTCTAAGACTCACCTCAAAAACAAAATGTTTTACGTAGTGGCACAGGTTGTGTTTTGGCTTCTGTCAACCTGTTCTGCTATTTAATTTCCTCATTTTCAACATTCCTTCTCTGCTTTCATGTGCTGAGATGAGGCACCCAAGGATATTTTGGGTGATGCTGTGTCAGTGAAGGCGGATGATGTGTTTGAAGTGTGGTGGGGTCCCATGAACACAGGGGATGTTGGCTTGAAGTGAATTGCAATTGTATACAGCTCCCCTTGCAGCAAGACGTTTCATTTCTCTTCCTATTATTCAGCTTTTTTTCTGGGGAGGATGTCTGCCAGTTTGTCTGAGTATGCAGGACTAGGGACAACCAAAGCCTTCCTGGGTTTGAACCTGTAAAATACATGATAGGCACAATAAATTTTTCCAGGTAGATGAGAAGTCCAAA